AGGAATGGATGAACGTGGGGAGAAACGCGCGCAAGGAGTGGTTCGACGAAGAGGAGGACGACGGCGTAGATTGGGAGTTGTATGGAGATGGTGAGCAGTAAGTAGTCGAATGGGACTTCGACTCTGGCAGGGGGGTAATGAAACATTTGTCTTTCCGTTCTATTCCTTGTACTACTAGCGCCCATACTGGCGCCTGTCTTAGCGCTCACCCGCAGGTTGAACATTATGTAGCTTACATAATGGGGTCCGTGCGCACTTCGTACTCGGCATCGTACCACTACATTCCTTTCTTCACTAACACGACCACATAGACACGATGGTCCGTGCGTAGTCGGTACTTGTATAAGTAGTTGTACCATTAGTCAGTCGAACCCTAAGTTCGACCTGGTTATTCATTCAGGTCTCTGCTCCTCTTCGCTTGGGGTAGTGGTCATTCTCGACTTCCTCGCTCGATCTTCAGGACGATGTACTGTCCACAAGTCCTCGCTCGTCGTCTACGAGTCAGGCATCGATATAGGAGTATAGACTGTTGTATCACAGGCTAGTAATAAAAGCCGCGGTGCCCCAAAATGGGTCGTGCACCTATTGGTGCTCGAGTCCGCGAAGGTAGCCCTGGTCGGCCATCATGTCATGGTGCCAGCTGAACCAAACTGGGCATCATGTCACATGCCATGGTGGGGGATGAACTCATGAACCAGGCTCCTAAAACCATCCGTCCAGTGAGTTCACGCTCCTACATACTAGAGCGCAACTTCATGTTTTGTACGAGTAGATAGATCACGTGTATGATTGCCTAATATATAATCTTGATCTGAGGTTAATGCGACTAGTGAGGAGGTGAACTCATCAGGACGGCTGGCCAAGATTGTGCCCGGGGCATGCCCGACAGAGCGCCTATTGAACGAGCAAGCATGTTTCAATACTATTTACCAAAGCAGACACTCAAAAAAGGTCGAAGCAGGTCTTTGGGGTCCCCTTCTCAGGGTTATACTACAATCAACTTGTATAGTCCACTGTTAGAGCAACGGGGATTCTGTCGACGAGCGCGTTTGTCCACCGGGGTAGCGATGCCCCTTTGAGAGTGTGCTGATGCGCGGGCTCACTGCCGGTACTTATCCGACATTTGCGGGCTATGCGTAGAATTCCTCAAATACCTCTAATGCGTTCATCAAATCGACCTTTCATTGACTCATCCGCGCTGCCTGATTGCAGGCCATGAGTGCTAGTTCGACAAAGCTTCTGTACTGAAGGGCCCATTTCGTTTCCAACCAAATACTAGGAGGACGCCGTCATTTAGTCTTTGCACCCTCCGAGTACAACCCAACCTTCAAGAACATCTCCGGAGTCTCACTCTCCCTGCTCATAGTCGGGTAAATAACTCCAGCCATATTCCAAGTGATCACCTTCCCGTCGACTCGAACGTGAATGTGGATACTAAGACCGACAGAACAACCTCTGCATAGATCGAATGGTCAGCCTCATTTTCCCAGGGTTTCGTAATCACTCACTCATTTCCATCTCCGAGAACTTGAAACCGCTATGACACGCACATAGTCGTGAGAAACTCAGTCATGAACCTAAGATATGTTCTTCCTCACATGCAAGCTCGTTTGCCTCCAAGGAACGTCATGCTAGGTAAGTGTGCGTCAACGTCATTCCTGACATTTATAGACGCCGTTGTGACTCACAGATGCGAATATACGCCTGGGATGGGAGCTTCAAGCACAGCGGTCGGCAAGCCGTTCAGCCATCTCTCGGGCTTCCATTCGGTCGAATCTTCTCCCCAAAGTGATTTCTTCAGGTTGCATGCCCAAGCACCAATCAGAACCTCGGTTCCTCTGGAAATAGGTATCTCCTTGATGATTGTCCCGTCGATCCCCATGATGGGCTCATGCAAGGGAAGAACAGTGTCCTTGTTGGGTCTAGAAGAGACAAGATCAACCCTTTAACATGTGTCTGTGGTAGTAATACACGTACACGCGCATCAAAGTCGTGACAGCCGGATAACTAAACAGAGGTCATGAATACATCACGTCAAGCTTTGTCAAAGGGTTGTGCGACTCACAGGCGAAGTGTTTCGCGACACACGGCGTTCAAGAGTGGAAGTTTGTTCAACTCATCATACGAGCATTTTTCATGGGCACCCGCTGCGAGTATCTCCTGGCGTAGCTTATCCTGAATATCTGGATGCTCTGAAAGGAGGTGCAAAATGCGTGCCACGGTGTTGGATGTGGTATCCGTCGCTGCTAAAACCAGTGTGCTGAACAGATACAGGAGTGAGTACCAGCGAGATGGACAGACTTAACATCGCTCTTACGACATTTGGCTGATCAACTCTTTTTCCGAAAGGCGATCGTCTTCTGATGCGAGACTGTTCGCCTTCACTGTTCCCGTTGTTAGCTGTCGCCCGTAATATTCTAGGACTTCAACATACTTAGGACACTCATGATATCTTTTCCCTTGCCGACTTGTTCGAGAACCGCTTTGTCACCATCGGCGAGCGCCTTCTTCTTGGACACGAAGATTCGCGTCGATCTTGTGCTCATAGTGTCCACAATAGACTTGACTTTCTGGACCGCCGCGTTTGGTATCAAATTGATGGCAAGCCGCCCAATGCCTGCTGGTACTGTGAAAGGTACATAGGGTAGAAGTCGCTGCAATATGTCAATATCCATTAGCCTTGGGCTATCGTCACACATGAGTACTGTCCTGAAGCGCCAATAGCAACGCTTTGAACTCACAAGAGGGCCTTCAAGGCTGCACCGTAATCGTCTTTCATATCCGAGACGAAACTGTCGAAGGAATATCCAAGCCCACTTTGCCCGATAAGCTCGAGGGCCACACGGCCAGTCCACTGTAACATGTCGATTTCCGATTGACCCTTTGTAACTTGGAGTGAGATCGCATCCCGCAGCTATGTGGATGCTGCATCAGCCATGAGCGCTGGATGATAATGGCCTCATACCCGGTGTATGACATTGTAGAACAGCGGAAGCATGTCTCTCATGTGGGCGACGGAGAAAACAGGGTTCAGGATTTTACGCTGCTTGCGGTGTTGGTCACCTTAGAAGGCGGCTTCATGAGATAAATGAAAGTCAATAACGAGCTCTTTTCTCTCACCCAAAGTCGCCAACAAACCAGGCCCAAATATGAGCATGTTCCCTCTATGCAGAACATTATGAGATGCCCTATCGACCAGGCCAGAATCACGTACAAGATGAACGACCGAGATTCTTCGAAGATGTGCTCCTCTTTGATGAGCATTGTATGCAGTGCTGCGGGGTCAGAAATGAAGACAATCGGACGCTGCAAGCACTTCAGATAGGATTCGTCACGAAGATTACGAATGGATCGTACATTGAATAAGCCTCTCAGCTTGACAACAGATCCATAGTTGAGGGCTACATCCTTTTGGAATGGCATTGCGTGACGATTGTACATTTCCCCAAGGGAGCCTGTGTGCGATGGGTTTAACAGTGAGTATACGACGAGACTGCATAAGAGCTCACCCTTGAGGAAAGAGCGCGAGGGCGGCCCCGATAGGTTCTCCAAAACATGATGTTTGCGCCTCTGGGACCGCTGCCACGCGTACCAAGCAGCGCCTCCAGCCAAAGCGAGAAATAGCAGGCTATAAAGGGAGTCCATAGTGAGGGCACAGACGAGAATCTTCCCGGTCGCAGAGCGATAGCGTTATATATATGTACGAATACGCGTATCGTCGAAACGTGACCCTCCAGGGACATTGAAGTATACAAGATTATGTGGGCCATCTTCGACGGTGAGCACTAATGACAACGTAGTAGCTGTGATAGATGCTAGAAATCTAAGCGAATGCTTCCTGAGATAAGCGGCGGCGTAGTCAGCGTCACGAAGTCGCAAACCGGGAGACATGGACGGTGATATATGCCGGCCTGTCTGGTATCTTGACCTCAACCGCTACGGCGTGGCCGGAGGAGCCCGATATTCTATCGAGGCGCGAATCACAGTGAGAATGAGGAAGTCAGCGTGAGATCCTGCGGGGATAAAGACACAATCATGAGTATGTAAAAGCATCTTTAGATCCAGTCGATGACACCTAGTTGATCCGTTCTCGCTAATCTTTGCAAACCTGCTCATTGCGTTTGACGTTGCACTCGTAGAAGACATCAGTTCCCTTTGAGCATGGCCTGGGCAATTCGCTAAACGCATATCCTGCCCGTCATTTTGCGAGCTCGAGAAATACATGAAGGCCTCAATCGCGACGTTCGCGAAGGCGTGGCGTAGCAATATCACCAGTCTCCCTTACTGACCAACAGCAGATAAAAATAACAATCAGTCAATCACCAATACTGTTTATGCAGCACCGCTTATTTTGTTTGTAGATGCACACAAACACTATCACGTATGGCAAGCCGGCCTCTCATCACGTTTGGGTTCTCAAAGATCCTGGCCCAAGCTCTCAGCGACTGCGACGACACATGTCCCCGCTTTCGGGCCAACGTTTGACCTCAAGCCCTTACCACCAAACGTGTATTCAGGTGGAAGCGTTTCAACACCGCAACAAGATCCCAGATTTCGCCTACTCGCAGAGTGACGGCTATGAGGCCTTCACCGAGTGGTACGACGTGAACGCATGTGCCGAAAGTCTACTCACCTCGTGGGCCGAGTGCGACGCTGAGGAAGCCTCGCGTTCGCCTGTGACGGACGAAGTTGGAGCCCGTTCGATTCCCCCTTAGGAAGCGGCAAGGAGGTTCTACCTACCTCGTGTTCAGGACACTGATACGGCGCGATGCGCGCGAGAGAAGTTTGCGTCCGCCTCAGATCGGGACTTGCACCCGGTCCGTCCGAGAAGTGTAGGACAATGACACCTTGTAGAGCGCACTTCGCTGGGCGTCTGAGGGCGCGGAGTCCATTGTTTGAAGCTTTTGGAGGCTCGTCCCAACTGTACATATACCTACGCTGTATGGAGTATAAACTCGGGGGATACAAAATAACGCGCGCCTCACAAAAACAGGAGTGCCGTCTCATAACACTACTGAATACAATGGCAACAGAAGCCCAACGAATAATCCGATATGGTGTAGTGGCTAACATTATCGCCTCTCACGCGATAGCCCGGGGTTCGATTCCCCGTGTCGGAATTTATTTTCAGAGCTTGGCCAATCTCGCGATCTCTCGTTTGTAATCGGTCACAAGTTGCCCTGTGACATGAATAATGTTTTTGGGAACGAGATATATTTTACTTGAAGAGATAAAATTTTGATTCCAGATAGGCGATGGTCAAAAGCCAGAGCGTGTGTATTTTCTTAACCGTGTCTCACATGTCACGCCAGCGCTGTCGATCTGCGAGTTCTAAGCCTCCACTAAGCACTTCGGCCACACCTATCCCATACGCCGCGCTGCACGCGTGAGCAGGCTGCTTTTGGCCCAGGGCGCGACCTTTTGCAAGCGTTAGCGCTCGCTCGCTCACTGCGCAGTGCGAGACGGGGGCCGTCCAGGCAGCCATTTTGCTACTAGTATGGCCAACCCCGGGGATGCGTCTATGGATGGGTTGGGGTTGCTTGACAGCACAGTATTCTTATGTGTCATTGGCCTTACCGCTGAATAGGCTGCAGAGGCGGGATATGAGCCCTACACATTCTACTCGGGCTTACGAGGGTTCTTGCCTGGAAACATGACTTATTAACCTTGTACAACTACTATTATCCATTATGCGGCTCGACACGCCTCAATCATATTTGTTTATCATGCTTTGATGTTCATTCCGAGAGACGTGCTTCAGCTCCATTTGAGTTCCATGCCTCCTCGCTGATATCTCTTGGCGTGTTGAGTGCCGGCATGGCTTTTGTGGCAAACATAGTGATCTTCAACATTTCTCAAAGGACACCCCCGCATATTGAGCCTCAGCCATAACTCATTCGCGTCACGACAACTACACAACATACAAACCTCACCAAGGTCCGAGAAATTACCAGAGTACACACCACCCCTCAGTCAAGCTCATCCAGCACGAAGCCCGAGCGCGCGTACAGCTCGTCGTCGCCAAATGAGCGCGCCATGAGTTCGTCATCGTCGAACGAACGCGGGGGGTTCACGACAGTGCCGATGCGGCCTTTCGTCCACGGTAGGCCAGGATTCATTGGGATGAAGCTGATCGGGCCGGGTCTCAGGAGCTCGCGCGCGATCACCTCGTCCTCGATCGCGCGAGCGAGCAGCTCCTGGTCTTCGCGCTTGAGGAAGGCGAGGACCTTACCTACGGCTCCGGCGACCTTGCCTGCGACGTTGCCGACCTTCTTCCAGTTGACCGCTTCGCTGCCTGCCGCGGGAGGCGCAGCCCGCGCATACAGTTCTTCGTCGAACGAGCGTGGCGGATGGGTCACGACGGTGACAATGCGGCCTTGCGGCCCGGGGTATGTCCATGTCGTGCTGACGGGGCGCATTTGGAACCCTGCGCGCGCGATGAGCTCATCCTCGATCGCGCGGGCGGGCAGCTCCTGATCCTCGCGTTTCATCCAGGATAGGAGCTTGGCCCTTGCGGTTGCGGGAGTCATCGGATGGATAGGCGTCGTGAAGTCGATGCGGCGTGTCAAGAGCTCCGCTTCCGAGGATCTGTGCGTAGAAGTTGTTGTCAGTCAGTGGTGATGACCGCTATATAGTCGAAGGACGCACGAAGCAATGGGGGCAGCCATGGACGGCGCAATAGCAGCGGCAAGGAGAAGAGCGGGGGCAGCGGTGGTGGCACGCATGACGATTGAAAAGGGAGTAAGGGTATTGATCAAAGTGTGGGTTGAGAGAGGTCGCTAAGGCGGATGTGAGTTGAAGTCGTAAAGAACGGCCGTAAGAGAAACAAACAAGGCTGTCATCTCCAAAGTTAGACCAATGTCCCATTGATGAGATTATAGACACGCACTATCCAGTACCTGTGCTTGGAAGTCTTGTGGGCTCTGCGAAAGGAAGGCTGAGAGCTGGGGTCTGTTCATGGAGCCCCGAGGCATTTATGTCGCGGACAAAGACAAAGACGCCCCCTCGGACACACGCTGTCAATGTAGAGCACCTCTCGATGCACAATAATACGGATACATCGGCGTCAGCTTTCGTTTCAGGCATTGAACACCGCTTACTGGCCGCCAAGAGCGCACAATACTCCTGGGCACGGGTATTCAGTACATCGAACCTTTGAAAGGAAAGCAGTGTGTATACCCGACGGCTGCTGTAACAGCTGGACACATTTTGATGGTCGACCAGGACGTCAAGATATGATCAGGCCCTTGTTACGTATGCGACTTATCTTGTTCGATGCGTTCGTCGAAGGTACTTGCCTTCAGTACGGGGGGTGTCGTCCTGACCGATTGAATCGGCATCTGGCCCGGCGAGTGGGCTGAATAAGCGCCGGCCTCCATGGCGTGTGGTGGTGGCGCATCAAACGATCATTCGAGGTCGCGACGAAAGTGCGGCGAGCGTCGGCACGTAACTTATCTCGAACAAAGATCGTGGGCTATTCGCCGGGGCAAGCTTGCCGTGAAACCCTCATACCGCATAGCAGGCCAGAAGGATCAAAGATCGTTCGAGGGCCGGTTTGTGCCTCGACAAAGTAGTGAAACTCCAGTCGTGGGGCAACCGATCGAGACGGGCGCTTGTACACTCATAACATACAAAACAGTCGTTTGCATGTATGTTCATATCTATAATGATAAACTCTGCGCTCCCTTAATGGTTCTCGAGCTCATGGTATCATGCCGTGGGCTTTTTAGTAGGCAGTGGCCTAAACTCTGGATGCAAATCACAGTGGTAGCCGCCGTCTCAACCCGCGGGCTGCAGAAAATACAAGATGGTGTCGGCTGCGAGGGCACTCTAATGTCAATACTTGTCCCCTTCGGGGTGACATACGAAAAAATTGGAACGATACAGAGAAGATTAGCATGGCCCCTGCACAAGGATGACACGCTTTCCCGGAGTGGTAGACCTACGGGTCTCAATATTTATTTTTATTCTGTTCGTGAGACTCAAGCTCACTGCTCAAAGTGACAGGCATGCTTCACGACGCCATGATCAGTCCCGCGCACCATGTGCCCTCGTTGACTAGATTTCATCGTCCTTACTCGCGTGAGTCCTCATACTTCGTGAAAGTCAGTCATGTCTCATTCAGCTATATCAATATCTCCGGCATAGTCTACGCTGCACAGGCTGTCGTAAGCATACAATAGTATACGTATGTCGACTTATTATTATTATTATTAAAATCCAGTTTTATATCCGCTGGAGTATGTCGACTTGTGTGTTCATTGCGACACTTGGCTTAGGGTCAATATACCGATAAGGACAGAATTCACTATCGAACAATATACCATTTCGAATACACAAGATACAAACAGAGCAAGAAATATGCCGGACCGAGTGGTAGGCAAGGGGTAATCTCATCGCACTATCACCTCCATGGCCAAGATCCACGAGTGATTATCTCATATAGCCCGTGTCGGTACATGTCACGACAGAGATGTCCGTTGGGACGTCGTAGATCAGGCTTTATACAACCCCACCTTGAGGGGCAGTTGAGGCAGATCGCTGTCCTTCCCAACGGTCGGATACCATACATTCGCGATGTTCCACTCAATCGTCTTGTCCGACAGCTCGAAGGTAAAGTTGGACAGCATGACGGACAGAACGACCTCTGTAGATTTAAATGTGAGAACGAAGCGTAATCAGTTGTAGCTCAGGGCACAACACTTACTCATCTCCATCTCCGAGAATTTGAAACCGCTGCGTTGATGGGTAATCAATATCGAGTCAGCCGAGCTTACAGGATCCACTCACATGCATGCGCGCTTGCCTCCGATGAAGGACATCCTGCGCACGCGACATTCAGCACAAGGTCGCAGTCCAATTCATTCCACGACTTACAAATTGGAGTAAACGCCGGGTATCGAAGCCTCGGTCACGGCACGAGGCAGAGGGGAGAGCCAACGCTCCGGCTTCCACTCCAGGGAGTCCTCACCCCACAGAGATTTGCTGACGTTGCAACCAAACGTGCCGATAATCAGCTCCGTACCCTTGGGAATAGGAATTTCCTTGATCATCGTCCCGTCTACGCCGCAGATCGGTTCAGACAGCGGCAGCACTGAATCCTTCCTCGGTCTGCGCCACACGTCAATGGTTGAAGGGAGGAGAATGACGCTGCACGTACGCTCGGATCAGGATCGTCACCGGGGGATACCTACAGAGGGACTCCATCTTCTGTCGCATATGGAACAAAAGCACAAGTATGGCTTACCGTCTCAGAGTCTCCCGACAGACGGCGTCCAGCAGAGGCAATTTGTTCAGCACGTCGTATGAGATGTCGCCGTTGCCTGCACCGGACTTGAGGATTTCCTCGCGCAACTTCTCCTGCATCTCTCTGTGTTCGGCTAGCAGATGCAAAATCCGACTCAACGTGTTTGAGGTGGTGTCTGTAGCGGCTAAAACCAACAGACTGATTTCACCGGTGAGAGTAGGCTACTGCAAGCTCTCGAGATCACTGACGACATCTGAGCAATCAGCTCGTCCTCTGGCAGCCTGTCTTGCTCTGACGCCGCACTGTTCGCCTTGACTAAAATTGAATCAGTGGGTTGGATAGGGACCGAATGTCCACAAACGTACTGAGGATACTCATGATGTCCTTCCCTTCGCCAACTTGGCGCAGTGTCGCTTCGTCCCCTTTCGCCAGCGCGGTCTTCTTCTCGCGGAAGATCTCTCGACAATTCTCGTCCATCGTGTCGACAATATACTTGAGGCGCTGTACGTGGGGGTTTGGAAACATGTCTACCACAAAGCGGCGGAAACGCCGCGGTCCAAGGTCTATGAGGATGTCTAGGTTCCGGCGGAGTTTTTCGACGGCGAGCAGGTTGGGGCTGATTGTCGCATCGACGAGTGTATGAACATGCAAGAAAATCACGACGCAGAGGGACACTCACTTGATCGATTTGATAGCATCGCCATATGCGTTTCTCGTCTCCGTGTTTGCCACCATAGGATCAAACGAGTATCCGAGACCCCCTTGTCCAATGAGCTCCAGCGCAGCGCGACCGGTCCATTCCAACATGTCGATCTCGTTCTTACCCGATTGCACTTCCGCACGAACTACCTCTCGAACCTACGATGCGTGCATGAGAGTTGTTCTCGAGGGCCATCATGACCATGAGCCCATACCTTGAAGATGGTGCTGTAGAATATTGGTAGCATGTGTCGCATGTGGCTGACCGAGAAGACTGGATTGAGCATCTTCCTCTGTTTACGATGATGTTCGCCTTAGTGTGCACTGTAAAGTGAGTTTCATTCCGCTATGTGAGTTACAAGAACATACCTGCAGTCGCTAGCAGGCAGTCCCCGAACAACAGCTTCATAGTTCTGTGTGTTCCATCAGATCTGTCGGCATATACTTGGGCAAGGCCGCTCACGCAAAGGATGCATCTGTCTCCTCGTACACGGTGTCCTCCTTGATGAATATCGTGTGCAATGCCTTCGGATCCGAGATATGCAACATCTTGTTCTAAGGGCATCCGATGGGTTAGTGACATGCAGCATGAATGTATCTTGGAACGTACACCGCAAAAGGCTTCGAGTCGCACAACAGGGCCGTAGTTAAGCGCTACGTCCTGCTGAAATGACTGCCCATGACGGTCAAAAAACTTCATGAAGTTGCCTGAATTACGTCAGATCCTGCATCAAATCAAGTCGAAAGGAATCACCTTTCAGCCAAGAGTTCGACGGTGGTCCAGGTATGTTGCGTATAACGCGGTAGCTACCGCGCTGGAGAAATTGTGTTCGCAGCAGCCAGGCAGCGCTGACGAAAAGCGCACAACATAGGAGGATGATGGAATCAGCCATGGTTCAGCCTTGCCACGCAATGTGCACACACGGTACACGAAGATATACGCAAGTGATCTGGAGTGCAGAATGGCCTTCTTATATACGCCGGAATTTGAGTATGCGTGTCACAATACGCGCAAATGAAATTCCTTCATACGCATCGGCACCGCTTGATTACGCTTGTGGTTCTTTCGGAAAGAACGCCTACCTAATGGGTGGTATCGCTATATCTATCTGCTGCCACCGCGATTGTTTCTCGACAAGATATTGAAGTGAGAGATGTGGTTATGACTCGGGAAGTCCATCATCGCTGAGTAGCTCCACAATGGGCCTGTCTTGAAACGTCTTAGGGGACGCGGGCCCTTCCATTAGACGGGCATAACAGGCATAACACTTTGTTTTGAGTGTTTTGTTGATTAGATCCGTGAGCTAGAAACATAATCACAAACAGTCGCGGCGTTGAGTACTCACAACTGCCATCAGACCGACAAGATCTCTGGTGCGGTGGTTTACTGTCACACGAAGCGAATCAAATTGCAATGACACATGCTACGGGGCTTAATGACCTGTTGACCATTGACAAACCGCGCCCGAGTCGCGCGGCAGTTACGTGCCTTCGCCTTACCTCAGGCTTATAAACATCCGCAAGAATCGACCGTGAAGCCCGAGAGAGGTCCTATCTTACCGTTTCGTGAACATTTGCTGCCACAAGGCATCCCTCCAAATAGAAGCGGCTTACATTGCAGACGCAAGTCATGTCGACATGGAGGTAGCTGCCAGGCTGTGGGCGCCGAACTGATTACAATAGACGCTCGGTATCTGTATAATAGTGCTACTTAGTTAGCATCGATCATTTTTTGATCACTCCGCTCTTAGTAGAGCACCCCTCGAGCAAAATAAGGACACTTAGAGGCTGTACTCCTCGCACAGGCGACACGCTACGCCCAATCAAGGAATCAGCGTCAATTTTCGGATCGCATTTCGATCCTTGAACATCAAAGTTACACAAGTCGGCGCTCCGAAACACCCGATATCCTACAGTTTAGGACATATACTTGGGCGATCACATCAAGCTACAGTTACAAAGATACTGTGCCTCCTCGGGTAGTCGGCAGACCCCCCAAGTCGGCAATTTTACTGTATCTCCCTCCATAGTACTCGATTACCTTCGTGCTTTTGTAGACATAGGTTTTCGTATGCCTTCTTTCATTTCCAGCTTGAACGAAAGCGAACGGTGCAGTAGTTCTGGAGTCCCTTCCTGAGAACCAGCTCAAGCCGTTGTCACGCTGGTGTACGCCTCGGTTGTAACAGCTTGTGTCGGAGTTTCATTTTCCGATCACGTCAGCGACATCATTGTATGCTTTGCGCTACCTGCCCATAGAATCCTTAAGCGTTGGATAAGCGGACCTTGAAATATTACACGTGATGGATTGTGACGAATGTGTTACTTTTACGTGACTGCCGACTTGGGGGGTCTGCCGACTACCCGGGGAGGCACAGTGGATGCCTTCCCGCAGGATCTGGATGGTTTGCAGATGCATACCGGACTTTGAAACAGACCCAATATGTTGGTCCGTGCCGTTTAGCAGGAGAAAGGTGCCCAGAGGCCAACTGTTACCAGTTGTTACCATCAGGTTGCCAACAAATGACAAACGGGGGCAGGAATGGATGAGGTAAGCACGGAAATGGATGAGGTAAGCAGAATGATATTGCTTGGGCCAATGGGAAATGAGCGGAGCCCGAAAACAATGTTTGCAACACTCAATCTGGTCTGGAGGGGGGGGTACCCCCCTCTAGATGCAAACATGACAATTCAGACTCTTCGGTGTCTAACTGCACGGCAATGGTCATTTTCGAGGTCAGTCAGATCAGCCACGTTGCTGTGAAGATTTAGAGGTCAATTCTATTCTGCAATCACATCCAGACCTCTGTGGGAAGGCATTCAGTATAACGATAAGGAATCATATGCAAGGTATTGGAATTAGCCCCTCATCGCTGAGTACCTCACATCAAACCCCCGATTTATCCGAGTGGTTGCATACATACATACCAATAGCTTCCAGATCCTTTGCAATGTAGGTAACATTACATTTCAACAACAGCAGCATCAACAAATTACGAGGTGTGATTACTATTCATGCAATTTTACTTTTAAAGGCAGTCAAGGCTGATCACCATCACTGTCTACAGTGGGTTATGTCACGCCAGCCACATTCCATGTGATTTCCTTGTGGAAACCCATCGTGGATGACAGATAACACTTGCATGGTCTTGGACAGTAACAAAACAGAGCAAAATGCAGGGATTGATATTTGAGAGAAAATAGTGCTATGTATGTATAGAGGATGGTGGTGGTTCAGGGGAGAAAAGAGTTGCCCAAGGGCTCTGGCACAAATGTGAAAGCAACATGTTGTCACGAGTTGGTACAGCATCTAGCCGCTTTTCAATTTTTTCCTTTTCACGGGCTCAAACCTGCAACCTCTGTACCATATGCCTGAAATGGACACATTGTCATGAGTTGACACAGCGTCTAGCCATTTTTTAATTTTTTCCTTTTTGCGGGTTCAAACCCGCGATCTCTGTACTATACGCTTGAACGGACAAGTTGTTATCTACTGTACGATTAGATTAGATGGGATGGCAGTGCACGGCACAGCTCGGGCTTCACTGACACAGCTGCTCTGACTCACCAGCCCCCAGGGCCGCGTCAGCATGCTGTGCACAGACTGGCTGTGCACGGACCAGCTGTGCACAGACCAGTGTGCACAGCCTCCCCTAAACTTCCCCTGTATATAAGCCTGCCTCTGCTGCCCTAGGGACCTCAGTTTCGACCTCTTGTCCCTAGGTCAGTAAGCTCTCCTGTACTTACTTCTTTTACTTACTGACTAATACATTCTTGTCCCTAGCCTTAGGTTTGAGCTTTGCTCACCATCGCTTCGGTGAGACCCAGTCGAACGCCCCCAGCATCCTTGGTTTGTGTTTCCCCTGTCGCTCGACCCTAAGTCGTGACATTAGGTCGAAACTCCTCACTGCTGCCAGCATTCTTTCGGAACACACACTCTCACTTCCCTTTCCCATAGGTCGGGTGGTGCGCACCCTTACTATACCTTACGATACGTAGATAGCATACGATACATCGCCAACACTCGAGAGACGAACTCTTCAGTACCTGCGCTTCAGTGAGCGGTACTTGTCCTCACGGACGCGTAGCCTTGGTTCCTGCTGCATAATAGTCAAAAGCAGTATTGGGCCCTACGTGAACTGCGAATCTCAGTGTCATCTCGGGCACCGTAGGTGTAAGCTAGTCTACAACGGCCTTTCGTAGTACGCGCTGATACGACCTACGAAACCCTAACCCCTAACCTGGGTGCGACCTAAAGGGACTAGAGAGACGGATTATAGTCTAGTGAGAGGGGAGTTAGCAGCAAGGTGTCCCGCAGTTCGAGTGAACACGAGAAACGCCCTTGGAAAAGGCTACGAACGATGGGGAAGGTACGAGGTGGCTTCGACACGTCGTCGAAGCTACTCGGAGGCTGTGGATAGTTAGCGGAGACAATCGAAGCTCGGGAGAGCTCTTCGATGTATCGTAGAGAGAAGAGACACGATTCGATAGGGGGGACTTAGCTTAGTACGCGGTTCGAGGTGCAACGCAGTTCTTCGACAATAGCCGAAGTCGAGAGGTTCGTCGAGACGGTATCAACGAGTAAACATAGTAGACGAGGTTTCGAGGTTACGCAGTGAGGAACGAAGTGACGCAGTTGAGGGTTTAGACGCAGGGCGAACTCGACTTATGAGCTCTGAACTCGAGGGGGGAACCAGATCTTGTGTTTTTGGAGAGAAGTACGACAGATTTTATACTACACAGGACACTACGACTATCGAAAGTGGCACACTGGTACAAGGGGCTTTGCATTGTTCCTCAAGAAGCTGCCTCACCGAGGGGCACATACCAAGTCCATCGGTAGAGTGACGTCATGCCGAACGCGGAGATGAAGAGCAACATATGGCCACTTCGGACCGGTAGCCGTCGTGAAGGCATGCCGCGAGGTTCGATACCTAATCGGGAAAGACCGGCTACGTCGGTGTGGCTTGGAGCGAAGCGCGCGCTTGACCGAGCGGCGTCAAGTGGCCCTATTGTTCGCCGAATGCGGAAGATGTCCCGGGATCTACGCGCGAGGCATCGGGACGACCGTGCCGAGCTTCGAGTAAGCGTCGCGCACCGTCGAAGGTGTCGAAGAGCGTCGAAGGCGAAATTGAAGTGTTGGGAGACTGAGTCGAAGTGCCAGGCGGGATGCGACTGCCGAAAAGAGGTGTATCGGGGCCCAGAGGGGCTTGGCGCCTATCAGCGCACCTCCCCTTCCTCCCCCCATCCAACGTGGCTGCTTGTCAAGGCCAAGTTCACGCATTCGACTCTCAGGACCTCGTCGACACCTACATCCCAGACGGCCCTGAGACTGTCATCTACACCTGCGAGCAGCAGCCGTGCCCCAACCGAACACCCCGATCGATCGAGCAAGATTACCCACACTACAAAGCGATCCGACGAGCGCAACATCCGCTCGGTCCTCGAAGCACCCTTGCATCTCGATCTGCCTCACGGCACTCTCGCCCTGTCTCCCCTAGCTCCCGCCTTCCCCAAACTGTCGCCGGTCCAAGTCAAGCGCGAGGAGATCTCCCTCCAGACCCTGCGCCAGAGCCTGAGCCTGAGGAAAGTACGAGTGAAGAAGGAGTCTCGGAGTCTGAGTCCGCAGATCCTGCTCGGCCTGCCTCGCCAACAGCGCTCGCCCCCGCGTCAGCAGTCACTGACGTACGTGACCCCCCCGCCGGGCTTCCTCCAGCGCCTTCACCGCCGTCGCCGCCGCGAGGCCGCTCGCGCACTCGCTCCCCTCGAAGTCCGACCAGCGGAGGGCCATCACAGCTGCCTCCGCCCCCGCGCCGTCCTCCGTCCCCCCCGGCGCCGATAATGTCTTCTCCCGCGGCCGCCCCCGACAAGGAGACTCTGAGGCTTCTCCTCCCCCTCCGATATGATGGGAAAACCGTCATTGAGTGCGACAGGTTCCTGTCGCAACTCCGTATCTACTGGTTGATCAACACATCATTGACAACCATCGAGCTCAAGGTGCAGGTTGCGTTGAGCCTGCTCGACGGTGATGCCCGCGCCTGGGCCACTCCCTATTTTGCCCAGCTCGCATTGGTACAGATGGGCGTTCAAGGGGTCACGACCCCCTTCAGGAACGAAGCGGCCTTCACTACCGCCTTCAAGGCCCGCTTCGGAAATCTCGACAACGAGGCGGCGGCACAAGTAGAGTTGGCAAAACTCTGCGCGGACAAGTCGGTCCGTGAAAAACGCACCGCTGCGGAGTTCTCCGCGCTGTTCAAGGGTCCGGCGGACCGCTCCGGGTATGGGGACCTAGAGCTACGCGACAAGTACCTGAGCGGCATCCCCTCCCGTGTGTACTGCAAGATCGAGCTCGAGACCTTCACCACGTGGCTAGAAGCTGAGAAGCGCGCCACTGAGGTCGAGCAAATCCTTGACATCAGCCGGGCCCGTCGGCCCGAGCTGAACAACTTCTTCTCGGCCCAAGGTCGAGGACGCGGAGGAGCACGTGGTGGTGCACCCCAGTCACACGCAGCTTCGGCTAGCATCAATGCAGCCGTCGGAAAAGGAAACTTCCCTGGCAGTTGTTTTGGCTGCGGGAAGCAAGGGTACCGTCGTTTCAAGTGCCCCAATTGTAAGGACAAGCCTTACACAAAACGCGCCAACACGCGGGCTACGGTTGCCTCGGGATCCACCCAGGCGGCGACAAGCGCCCCCGTCGCTTCACCCTCGGCGAGTACAAGTACTGCTTCAGCACCTTCAGAGCTGGCGGACTTGACAGCACAGGTGAAGTCGATGCACGAGGAGCTCAAGCACTATCGGGCGATGAAGGAGGAGGGTTTTTGATCCGGTCCGCGCTTCGTGCCGCACGCGTCGGGCCGCGAGTATCATCATATAACAAGTATAACATATTGTCTTCTGCAATGGTGTATGAGTTGGACCAAGGGTCCCAGCACTTTCACATTCCAGTTCGACTCCAAGGGAAAAGACGGCACAAGGACGTAATCGCTATGGTGGACAGCGGGGCCACCACGAAGTTTATCAACAAGCGATTCATCATGGTGAATAAGGTGCAGACGCGGAGGCTGAAGGAGCCCATTCCGCTCTATAATATCGATGGCACCCTGAATAAGGACGGAAGCATCTCAGAAGTAGCAGTACTACAGATGCATATAGGAGAACACGTCGAAAAGACGGTGTTCACAGTCACGGACATTGGTCCGGAAGACGTGATCGTTGGGTTGGATTGGCTACGTGAGCACAACCCCGAAATCAATTGGGAGGAAGGCTCCCTAAAGTTATCCCGATGCCCTGAAACATGCAGTGCCAGGAGGACTGGCCGGATGGAACAAGCAGCGACTGCGCGTGATACGAGGGTCAGGCCCACGGCGCGCAGGCATTCACCAAAGTACAAACGGTCAGTTATAGGCGCCTGCCGGAGTAAGGTACTCCCGGACTTCGAACCTGAAGAAGATCCGGTAGAGATTGAGTGGGACGAAGCCGACTTGATCGAGGCCTGGGAGCAAGGCATTACACTTCCTGGCGCTCCTCAGCTGTTCGTTGCAGCCGGGCATACGTACTCCCAGCTGTTCGCTGAGGAAGAGATCAAGAAGAAGGTCATTAAGACCACCGAGGAGTCGGTGCCCAAACAGTACCACGAGTTTCTGAAGGTCTTCTCGAAGGAAGCATCAGAACGGCTACCTGACAGGAAGCCGTACGATCATGCAATCAAACTCGTACCCGGCTACTCGATGTTCCACTCGAAGGTATACCCGCTATCAAACAACGAGCAGGAGGAACTAGACAAGTTCCTGAAGGAGCAGTTAGCGAAGGGCTACATACGGGAATCGAAGTCGCCCATTTCGTCCCCCTTCTTCTTCATCAAAAAGAAGGAAGGGACACTTCGACCCGTACAGGACTACCGCCGGCTGAACGCGATCACCGTCAAGAACCGCTACCTGCTGCCGCTGATCACCGAGATGGTAGACAAGCTCCGTGGTGCTACACTGTTCACCAAGTTCGATGTCCGATGGGGATATAACAACATCCGGATCAAAGCCGGTGACGAATGGAAGGCGGCCTTTGTGACTAACCGAGGGCTGTACGAGCCCCTGGTGATGTTCTTTGGCCTCACCAATTCCCCCGCAACCTTCCAGGCAATGATGAACGACATCTTCCATGATCTCATCGTCGGCGGAAAGGTCCTCGTATACCTGGATGACATACTCATCTTCTCCACCAATCCGGAGGAGCATGATAAAGTCACGCGCGAGGTCCTTCAATGCCTTCAGGATAATGATCTATTCCTGAAGCCTGAGAAGTGCGAATGGAATGTCCCCAAGGTCGACTATGTCGGCTATGTGTTCGGTGGCGATGAGGTAGCGATGGATCCCGCGAAGCTGAAAGGAATCAATGAGTGGCCGGTACCCCGGAACAAAAAAGATGTTCAGAAGTTCTGGGGGTTTTCCAACTTCTACCGCCGCTTCATTAAGGACTTCGCTAAGATCTCGCGACCACTCGACCGGCTCACAGGGAATGACCCCTGGCATTGGGGCGAGGAAGAGCAGTATGCCTTCGATGAGCTCAAGCGGCTCTTTGCGATGACTCCAGTGTTGGCGTTGTACGACCCTAACCGGGAGACACGCATTGAGGTTGACGCCTCAGGCTATGCCACTGGCGGCGTATTGATGCAGAAGCAGGACGACGGCAAATGGCATACTATCGCCTTCTGGTCTCACGCTATGGACCCCGCCCAGCGTAACTACGAGATTTACGATAAGAAGATGCTTGCGATCATCGAGGCACTAGATGATTGGCGCCATTATCTTGAGGGGTTACCCAATCAGTTCGAGATCGTAACCGATCATAAGAACCTTGAGTACTGGCGCACGTCCCAGCATCTCACGCGTCATCAAGCACGGATGGTC